CATGGACGGAACCACCAAGCTTGGAGGATGACTCTGCCGCACCCATGTTTGCTCTCAGCAATACTGTAATGTTTCCACTTGAGAAGGATTGGAGAAGAGCCTTAAGCGGCAGCACTCTGAAGAACTTGTGACAAGTGGCAAGCACCTGTCGTGAGATTTATTTGTGCATCTCAGGAAGTCTTAGAATGTCTTAAAGTTCCTCATTATTTGCAGTCCATATGCTGTCCACAGATTCTAATAACAACCACACAAATTGCAAAGCATTGATATTTGAATGGGCTATTCCTGATTGAGAAATATTAATGGCAGAGAAGCTACAAAGAGAAGTAGACAAAATATTTTGGGCCTACAGTACACCAGCTACTACAATGACTTATTTTTGGACATTCTTTAAACGATGAGTTTTTAAAACTATTGTTAGAATGCAAACGGAAGGGGAAGAAAACAGTGTTACTCCACTGGTTTGGCCAAATGTAGAGTCATACGGAAACAGTTACAAAAGTTAAAACAGTATCCTTCCAATCAAGGCATAGCCGGAAAAAAATATCACGTCAAAATCACATAAGCACAAAAACCAAGGACAATCAGCCCAGCAGAAACTAGCCACAGAAATGCTTGTAGAAAGATGCAGTTACCCAAGTGGTTAGAAACACAGATGACCACAAAAACCATTCAAGCAGGGTACTGAACATTACACAGCAAGATATTTCATAAACGATCAGCATGCTTCCAAAACCTGGCAAGTCATGATAAGCTGTCGGCACATTATTCCCTGGATCCAGCACCTAATACGATAGGCAGACTCGAAGTCCTGAACGACAAACAGTCACAAATAATAACACGGCGAGTCGAGCTACAGCGACAGACATGGTGTAATTCTAGGGATTACAACGATAAGGCCACCAGATGGTAGCATCTTCACAGCATACTGTCTGTCCTCGCTGGCAGTCGCCTGAAGAAGTTTACTGGCGTTGATGGCAACCTGTGCCTGAACCTCGGGTGCCTCATGGCATAGAACCCTCCTAATGCTGCGAGAACCTGGAGCGGTGTGACGTACAGCACTATCGCGGCTATGAAACAGAATAGCACAAATATTGCTGTGGCCCGAGGATCCCTCCAACTGAGCAGTGCCTGAACTCTCTCCCCTTGGGTTGCGATATCGCCAACAACAGTCTGTATCCTTCCAGCAACACTCCTCAGCCTATCATACCTCATCCTTACAACCTCTTGGCTCCGGCTTGTGGGGAATGTGTCAAACTCTTCGTCGAGTTCATCTGGGTGAACAGCTTCTGCATGAGAGATCTTGGTGTTCATGTGTGGAGGGTAGCGAGGCCGGTAACGGTAGTTCCAGATCCCTATCAGGAACATGTACAAGAACACTGTTGGGAGTATGAGCTCTGGAAAGCACACCAGCATTATAAAGAGGATGTGAACCAGCACGGTGGTAATGGGGTTCTTCCATGCGCAGACACCACTGAACCACTTGCTGATGGCAAACAGGCCTGAGAAGACATTCATCAGCCTGAAGAAGTTTGCTTTGCTTCTCCTCATGCTCCACAAGTGAGAGTCAAAATCTGACATGTACTCAACAACTTCCTTCCTCAGAGGTGGCTCCATTCGGCTGAGACGGGCAGCCACAATCTGGACAGCTTGGTGGCGGAGCATGTCAACCTGAAGCACTGGTATTGGGCGTGCATAGTGCATCTTCGGCAGCAAAGGTCGGGAGTACAGGTATAGCATGTTGACCAATGACGTTGAGGAAAATCGTATGGCTAGGTGCAGTTCACCCATCTTCTTCACCCCTGATGGGTGCAGAACCAGGAGCGGATATGAGTGGGTGTATACTCGGCCAGTTTCAAGTGTTGAAAGGCGAATTCGGACCTTGCCGATTTTCGCATCTTTACCACTGGATGGCTTGTCCCCATTCCTCTCTCCAAGCTGGCCATTGTCAAAAGCACCAATAGTCAGGACAGTTGCCGGATCATAGACCTCCCAAGTGTACTGTTCATTGAACTTGGGGTTTGGATTGTTCATGATAGTACGTGTTCGCACCCACTTTGACCCATACTTTGCAACACAATAGGTGTCTGATGAACCTTTTCCATCACGTGTCTTCATAGGAACAATCCCCTGTGCACCAAGGACTCCAAGCTCAAGCAGACCAATCGACGGCTTCCAGAGTTGCTTGGCTGTTGGTCTGAGGTCACTGCTGTAGTTTGTAGACTCATCCAGAACATGATATCCTCCATCAAGGCAGAGACGGAGATGGAGCCGACTAGAGAACTTCTCTCTCTTTAGTTGATCTACATCAACAAGTACAGGCTTCTCAAGATTAAACCACTTCCCATGGACAATGCGGTCATCAGCCCGCCTATCAATCATCGTCAATGGTATAATTATCCGGCCAAGCGTCTCATCCTTGTTAGGAGCTACACGATCTTCAAGTGACAGAATAAGGTGATCCTCGAAAGGTTCAGCAGCCACAAACATAAGGTCTTCATTCCAAAATGGGTTGAAGTTTCTAGCCTGAACAGGTTTTGTCCTCCCATGCTGATGCCCCACCTGTGCTCTGACAAAAACATCTGGATAGCGGGTCTTATCAT